AGATGGCCTCTTCTTTTTTGATTTTCACCTCCCTCCAGAGTACCCTGATGTTCCTCTGGTTAGAACTACTTTTTATTATTTATTAATCTTTGGCTATATTATCATTTTTTTTTCACAACATATGTTTTTTGGATTTGATGCAAAAAAAAAAAGAGAAAAAAAAGAGAGCCTTTATCTGTTGTTTTCTGAATGGATTTCTGTGTTACAGACAGCATACTATCATTCTGGTGGCTGGCGGATAAATCCAAATCTATATGAAGAAGGCAAAGTGTGTCTTAGTCTTTTGAATACTTGGACTGGCAGAGGGAATGAAGTATGGGATCCAAAGTCTTCTAGCATCCTTCAAGTTCTTGTTTCGCTCCAAGGGTTGGTGCTAAATTCTAAGCCATATTTTAATGAAGCGGGCTACGATAAGCAGGTTGGGACGGCTGAAGGAGAGAAAAATTCATTGTCCTACAATGAGAATACTTTCTTACTGAACTGCAAGACAATGATGTATCTTATTCGGAGGCCACCAAAGGTGATGTATCAGATATCGAATATTCAATTTTTATCTTGTTCCGTTATAAGATTCTATTTCATTGTGTGCATCATAAATGATCGTTTCCTCATATCTATGACTCATTAAAAAAAAAAATTTTGGTGATAGGGGTTCTATATTAGTTGGATATTACTCAATCTGTTCATATAATCTTTTCCGTTTGAGTTGGGTGTACCCCTTGAAGTATATGAGCAATATCCGTACATGGTAGGATAAAAAAGTGAACTGTATGCATTACATGGCACCATGAAAATATTGAATCTACTTGATGTTTTGTTTACATTTGCTAAATACTTGGGGAATGCTCTTCACGTTTTATGTTGTCTGGTAATTTTACAAAGAAAGTCCTATATGTTGTTTTTATCTTTGACTCAATAAAGTTTAGTAATAGTATTGTTGGCATGTCTAGGACTTTGAAGAGCTCGTCAATGACCATTTCCGGAGGCGTGGTTTTTATATCTTGAAGGCCTGCGATGCATACATGAAAGGCTATTCGATTGGTTCTCTCACTAAAGATGCCTCTCTTAGTGATAAGAGTGATGTAAATTCAACTTCGGTTGGTTTCAAGTTGATGTTAGCTAAGATTGTGCCAAAGCTTTTCTCGGCCCTGAGTGAGGTTGGAGCTAATTGTCAAGAATTTAAGCATCTGCAACAATCGTAGCATAGGTTTGAAGATTCTATTTGTCAAGATCTCGGATCCATCAAGCCAAAAAGGTCAATCTGTTTTGTTTCGTTGTTATTTTCTGAAGATTTCGGATACTTGTCAAAGGGTTTTCACATTCGATTTGAATTCATTTTTTCAAACTCAATAGAAAATTGAAAGCCTGACCCATTTTAGTTGAGACTTCAGGCTATCCCCAGGCGTATACACCTTGTCATTAGGCATACTATCTCCCGTTTTTGGCATACTGGGGGTTTGTCGAAGCAAAGTTGCTGGCACTCCCCTGATTGGGAGTGACTTTCGGCATCTGGTTGCTAGCTTATGTTGACATATCTTCTGGTAGCTTTTGGCAGGTGCTTTCTGCAGCTGCAAAAGCAACCATAGATTTGCATTCACTTTTCGGTTGCTCCCTCTTCGGATTTACTGTGTGGATTGGCTTCTCACAATTCACTCAATTCTTGCCTCATTTGTTCTATACACTTACAGCATTGTAATCAAGATTTAATTCGAAATCCAAGATTTTTAAACAATTTTTTTTCAGTTTTTAGAATGCTGATGGCTGGGTATCCGTTCGATTTAGCTATTTTGTTTTCGGTCAATTTGATCCATTGAGATGCATCTTTTACCATGGACTGCTTCCATATTGCGAAAGGGGTGTGACATTTACACACCCTTTCTTACTTCTCGCACACCCTTATAATTTTCGACTGTCGGATTGAATAAATTGAGGAAGATCAAGGAACATAAATCAACAAGGGGTGTGTGGATAGCACACCCCATTGCAAAAATAGAATGGAAAACCAAACCTGGAATTTGAAATTTGGGTAAAAGTTAGAATTTATAAATTGATATGTATTAATTCTCTTGTTTGGATTCATAAACATACAAATTTAGAATTTCTGAGTGAAAGAAAACTTGGAATTTGAAACCTCAATTTCCTAAGTTTAAATTCAATGTAAATAAATGTCATTTTTCAATTTCTATGATTGAGAGTTTAAATAACAAATTCTGTATTCAATTCCAATGTTCTTTTAAGTTAACCAAACAAGAAAATTCACAAATTCTAGAAAATAAAGTCCCGCCATTTTAAAATTCTTTAGTAATCTTAAATTTCTTCATCCAAACATAATGTAATGAACGTTATGTTGATTTGATTTCTACAGAACTCCTCTAAACCCTATCATTTTCGAGTAAACATCGAGCTGGTCATTCACCAATCTGTTAAAAACACAAGGATTATGTCCAAACGAAATCATAAATTTCTGTAACATAAATAATTGAGATCCGAATGAACCGAACAATCCTGTTCAAGCTAATCAAAATAACTTAAATGATGAGATTTGCATAAAATCCATCAATGCAACACTTACATTATTAGTAAGAAAAAGAAAAGTATAAGATCACAGATCCAGATCTGAATAGAGGAGGGGGATTGGAGAACCCATCTGATTGATAAAAATAACAGTAACACTACTAAAATTCTCCTCTCACCGATTTGCTACGGGAGCGATCACCGCTCTCCTGCAATGCTTAAACCGAATCCACTTTCACTACTTTGTGCAAACTTTAGGATTCCAAGTGATACTGTTGTTGGTAATTACTATAACTTCCACGATTATTATAGCTCCTTTGCTCCTTCCCCTGATATGCCACAAGAAAGATACGTGAGTTCCCCGGCAGGAAAGATGATCTACATTGCTATGCTAGCTAATTACAAGGTTAGGCTTTGTGGTTTCACATTTTAAAACCATGAAGGCTTATCCGAAGACAATAGCTTGCCGGAACGTCAAATCACTGAAACAAATGAAAATTCACAGCGGGAAATGCAGCTTCTTCCCAATTTATACCGTGCCATATAATGTGGAATGTGTCCTAGAATTAAGTGCCTGAGAATTACGGATTATATAAATTTGAGTTAGAAGTTCAGGCATTTAAAGATCTCCGGCAATTACAAGTTTACAACAGATACGAATTACTTAACAATAAGATGCTACACCAGTTGATCCTCTAATGGAATAATCGCTCTTGAACACTACGCAGTTCAATATTAACAATTTCATGTCACTCAACTCAGTTCGATCTACGAGAAGTTAAACTTCAATTAATCAGAAAGTATCATCACTATCATCATCATCATTCACAGCTACTTAAAATCTAATACTCCGTCTTAAACTTCAAATTGTTCATCTAATATCCGAATTTTTCCGGCAACAAAATTTATAGTTCAAGGCTTCAACATTCCAGAATCACACCACTATTCGATCAAGCTCTTGCCTTTTCAAAATACCGCCTTTTTTTCCATTCCAATTAGGGCACACAGAAATCAGTTGTTCAACTTCAATTCTCACCCAAACACTACCAGTCATACATCCCATTGCTAAATAAAAAATTCAACATTCAAGTGCCATTTTTATGTTCACTTTCATCTCAATAAACATCAAGAAACCCAACCCAACATTAGAATTTAAAAAGAAAAGATATATAAAAAGCAAGGGTAAACAAGTACCAGGCAAAGATGTTTCATAGACCGCCGGTCTTGATGAACCTTCTTCGCGCCAAAAACCTAGACACAGGAGGAGTAAGCGCCAGAGTGATCGGAACCCGAATCGGAAACAGAGCCTTGTTGCAGAGCAAAGCCAATGCCAGAGCCCCACCAGTCGAAGCCGCGAGCTCAGCCGTCCGATTCCTCTCCTTCTCCACAACCACAGCCGTCGATTGCCCGTTTCCCGATGTGGGTCCGTCCCGAAACACCGATCCATCGGAGATTACAGGTGGGTTTTGGGGGGTTTCGTCTTTGGAGGACACACTCCCCATGTGAAGCTTGGCGAGCAGCGATTCGACGTCGACGTTGTTCTTGATGGCGACATAGAGGCCTGTGATCGAGGCAGCTGAGACTGAGAAATGGACGCCCAGTGCGACCTTGCCGTACTTCTTCAGGAGCTCTTTGAATCGACCGCCGGTGGCGACGGAGGCCATTGATGGACCAAAAAAGATGGGATTTTTTTTGGGATGTCAGTGAGGTTTTTGGAGAGGGAGGGTCGAGTCGAGTCTAGGGTTCTTGTGGACTTTTGCACGTAGACTGTGTTACTGGGTTTCGTGGGATTACTTGGTGATGGGGAAAGTCTCGATATTGGAGCTGCCAAGTGTTGGTTATGGGCCTCACTCTGCCTTCGTTGGCCCAATTGGTAATGTCCCTTGGTCCTTTTTTTTTGGGCCGTAACTTACTTAATAACCCATCCTTAGTAAATTTGGTTTTTATTATTCGAGGGATATAGTTGATCTAATCTAAATTATAAAAAAAATTGAATTTGGGTGTAAAGACAAAAGTACATCGTTCTAGCCGACTTAATTAAGCTTCTGGTTTACAAATGTTAGGTGTAACAAGGGAGACTAAAAACTAAAAGTATTTATCAAATGAGTTTTTAATTTTCAAAAAACGTGAAAACAAAAACTGCAAATAAATTGGTTTTCTAATGGCTCCCTCAAAAAAAAAAAAAAAAGATTTAACCTTTTGGTTTTCAGTTTTCAATTTGTATTTTTATTTAAAAAAAAAGAACTTTTTGCTAAAAAAAAAAATAAAAAAACTGAAAACAAAGTTATCAAGCGACTCTAAAAAAACTTGATAGATTTCACATCAATGGAAAGAGTGTGAGATTCATTGTTCATGGCGACACTCACGCTTTCTATGTGTGAAATCCCAATGTCGGACATACATATATCATTATAATGTAAATTTTCGACAATTGGCGAAAATGGGTGAATAATAATATATCAAAGACTAAGCAATTAATTGGATAGTCATAGTGATTTAGGGTTGACATATATAAAGAGAGCAATGTTTCTGTTAGTTTAAGATATGTAGAATCTGTCCTTTGAGATTGTGCAAAAACTTGTATCAAGGTGAAAATTAACCAAAAATTAAAGTACTGAAAAGTGCTTTTCCCATTTGGAACACTGCTGCTTTATGCTTCATTAGGAAGATGGTGCAAGTGGAGGGGACTAAAATGGTGATTGTGGAGGTGTTGGTGGTGGTGGTGGTCATGATGGTTGTCCAAGCCAACGCCATTTTCCTCCGTTTTAGCTGTCTCGTTGCGCGGTCTTAACGGGTTCCTTATTAGCTCTAGCAAGGAGTCTCTCACATCATCAGCTTCAACCATATCAGTATCCTTTTTCTGGCAACGAAAAAAAATGAACAAAATCACTTAATGTAAGATTAATGCTGCTTTAAATTGTACAATAGATGTTACAACCCTCTAACTTTTCTCCCAATATGTTTTCTCTCACATCATCAGCTTCAACCATATCAGTATTCTTTTTCTGGCAACAAAAAAAAATGAACAAAATCACTTAATGTAAGATTAATGCTGCTTTAAATTGTACGGTAGATGTTACAACCCTCTAACTTTTCTCCCAATATGTTTTCTCAACTCTCTCACACAGATAAGGCGAAGGTGTACACGAGCTTGCCTCATCTTACTAAGGAAAATTCCTTCCATACAACAAGTACACACAATGTTGCACTCACAAAAAACCACCCTCACATACTGATTATGTGCCAAATAGTTGTGAGACGAGGGATTGTGTACACTCCTTGTATACCGAAAAAATGTCCTAACTATGTGCAACAGTTGGAAAAAATTTAGAGTTTTGAGCTAGAAAAGCAACTAACCTCTACAATGAAAACATTGGACACAAGGCATCTGAAGGTAGTCACATTTGCATTAGTAACTTCCAGGCACAGTGAACTCAAAGCCTCCATCAACCTCTCAAATCCACCAGGCTTTTGCTCACAGAACACTTTCACAAAGAACTGGTTTCCGTCCAATTGAGCCACTTCCACTTGGGGCTGCAACATTTTCCATTTCTTTGATTAATACCTAAGAAATAATTAATCCCAAATAGAGAAGGGTAGTCGTTTTCACAATCCCGTTTTCTCCTTATGCTTTCCTCCCATTGTTTTTACATGGATTTATTCAAAGGAAAACAAATGAAAATGACTTGAAAACTTTTGAGCTTTAACGATAAGGACAAGATAAAGAGTAAAATGAATAGTACCAGGTTTGACTTTTTAGTGTAAAAATGTGGTTTTTCGTTAAAATGAATAGTACCGCGGACTTTTCATTGAAACTCCCTTTATTCAATCCAATGGCTAAAAAGAGGAAGGAATGTAGGTGAAGTTCCCGAAAAAAGAAAAACTTCAAGAAGAGAAGAACACAAGATATGTACCTCCATCTGTTCTGTCTTGTGATCATGGACATCATATGAATAATCTCGGCTTTGTTTGAAGACACTGCAGTCTCCCGGTGTTCCAAAATGAATTCCATTTGAAGCTTTATGATCATCTTGATGATCATCAGTTTTAGGCCTAATGTGATCAACTCCACTTCGGCTCTGAATTTCTGATTTGACATTGTTCTTAGCAGCATCATCCTCTGCATGATCATCAAGCTCATCTTGAAGCTGTTTAGCTTGCTTCTGCAGCTGCTTCACATATTCAATTGCATCCCCAAGAATGGAGGCCCTGTCCAACTGTGAATTAAAAGGGAGTTGGAATTAGATAAAAGATAGCATTTTCAATGAGCCAATTTCTTTTATAGTCGAGCGATATTCGAATTTAATCTAAACTGCAGGGAGGGAGATTCGAACTTGGGTGTAGAAGAGAGGTGGTACATTGCCCTAGCTAACTTGACTATGAATAGGTCTTCTTATGAGCCTATTATGTGAGGTTACTAGTGAGTTCTTTCTTTTCATATCGTTTATAAAGCCTGAATTGATTCAACACATTAACGAAGCAAGACATGACACAAATCGAATGAGGTTTCAAAAGAAAAGATGCAAGATGATGAAATGCGATGGGTACCTTAGAAATAATGGGAACCAAAGACCTAAGAGCATAAAGTCTGTCATTAAGCTTCTTCCTTCTCTTTCTCTCAGCTATAAGGTTTTTGGCTTGAGGCCGTTTCCCTGTCCTCCTTTGATATTTTGTATCCGCCTCCTCATCAATCTGATCGCTGCAATCCGACATAAAATCCCCAGCTTGTCCCTCTGCCTCATGTGTATTTGAGTCCCGCTTCTCGTTACCCTCTTGCTGATCAATGTTTGGTACTAATGCCTCCATATATTGTTGCATATCCATGTGCCGTTGTCTCTCACTAGTGATAGACATCTGCATCGCCTCCATCTCTTGAAACCCATTTTCTGCTGAAGAAATATCAATATTATTCTTGGTTAGGTTTCCCGAGTTGTAATTAGTAAATTGCTGCGAGAAGTTCATTGGAGAATTGCTTGTTCTCTCCATGGATACATCATATGGATGCAGATTCAAATTCTCTAAAGAAGTTCTGAATGAAAGATGGTCTAAAAATCGCTTTGATCCGACTTCACTCATTTTGCGCGTACCAGTTATGCTAGTCAGGGCCTCCTCCTCTAGTGAGAGGTTGTATTGGGCTGTGACAAAATCAATAACATGCTGATCTTCAAATACCTGCAGTCACAGAAAACAGAAGAATAAAAAAACTGCCATGCTAAAGATCATTTTTTTCCGGATAGTGAAGGAAAACGGTTTACTTTATGGCTCATACGAAATGTGCATGAATGCCGTTAAATATACAAATAAAAGTTAAAGATACTGGAAACATTACTTGTTTGGTAACAAGAAGCTCGATTATTCCTCCTGGTATTGGAATCACAACCCTGGTCCCAATAGTTTCCTGCAAGTGTAATCAAGAAAAGTATGAGCTCGATATCAAAGGGGCTGTGCCTTCTGGAAATAGGAGAAAGGGAGCTAGTGGTACATACCTCTAATGTACTTAAAAATGTGTTGTTAGAGAAGTTTAACCAACTGGTTTGGTTTGAAATCAAGGTCTCTGCATAAATCCTGTCAATAATCACACATTTAAATGAGGCCAGGCCAAATGGTTAACAAATTAATCAAAGTACACAAAAGAAAGTGTGATACACTCTTTCATTTTTCTATGTCGTCAATTTGGATCGCACATCATAACGTGTCAGGCCGCCTTGAAGGAGAACACTTTGTTTATACGGGAAAAAAAAAATGGAGGGATGAAGGAGAAAACTGATAAACAAATAAATAGGTTATACCCGGAGTGTAGGGGCATGGAAGAAGGTATTTGGGCTAGAAGATCACAAGATGTGGTTCTTGGATGCTGTAAGATTGTATCCCTACATGCAAGCACTGGAGGAGGGAAAGGAAGATTTTGTCCAGCATCAGTTTGGCTGATCTCAGTCCCAGCACAGCAACAATCAATCAACTCAATAAACCTAAAAATAAACCACAAGAAAGTCACATACACGCACGCGCACATATACATATATATTGGGACATGAAGAAATTGAAAGATTGATAATGTAGTTATGGTTTGATAACCTTTGGTCTTCACTTAGTTTCCAGAGAACACAACAGTCCCAGCCTTTCAAACCCACAAGAGATCTAAGCCTGTGGATGAGGTATGGCATGATCATCATTGCCGCCTATAACGATTGAAAATACAAAAGCGAGGGGAAAACGCAGAGTAAACTGATTTCGAATTCCAACACAGAATCTTAAGAGTATCAGTTCAGTTGGCAGCAATAGTTAACTGCACCATCATCATATTTAAAACCTCAGCAAACTCGGAAGAATTTTGTAGCTTTCAATAAAATCAAGAAGAAAACACTTTTTATATGGCAAGAACTTGGTAGGTAAACTGCAGTCCATGCATGACTGAGAGAGAGAGAGAGAGAGAGCTCAATTAATTAGTTTAATTATTTTTTGTGTTCTTTTTTCTCCTTTTGTTTTGGATAACTAAGGAGGATGGCTGGGTAATGATGGGAGGAGCATAATGCATGAGCTAATATAGCGTGCAAAGTGGTAACTGACATTGTTAAAGTTTTTCATTCGTTTTGGTTTGGTATATGTATTTGCTCATGTTTCAACTACTACAATTCTCCAAATGCTTTAAACCAAAAACGGAAACCATATATACGTGAGCATTCCATTCAAACAGTTGGTGAAGGAAATGCAAGCTAGCTCGGATGATTGTCCGCTTTTTAGATGAAATGCCCAACAGTCAGCAAAGCTACGAAGTTCAACCTAATTAAGGATTATAAGCCCTTCAAGCACCCCCTATAGTGGCCTCACAAAAACTATGAGCTATAACTCGCGGTTTATATCATATTTGCAAAGTTTAATAAATTTTTATACAAAATCATCATAAGACTTATTTCGTGTTATTTTTCCGCAATATAAGTTTTTTAAAAAAAAATCATCCGGGACATTCCAGAAATGTTCTAGCTCTTGAAGGGCCTTGCTAGTGGTTTTACTTTATTTTGTTGGAGTTATTTTTTAGAAATCTCATTGTCTCACATTGATAACCACCAAAAGTTTCTCACACTTTGTAAGAATTTGTCTCTCTCTCTCTCTCAAAGTGATTGAAGAGATGGACATTGGAGAACAAAATTGGGCTTGAACCTTGGGTTTGGACTTGGGTGTATTGACAATTCCACCTCCTATTTTTCCTCCTAAACCTAGGTGGGTGAACAATACCAATTAATGCAACTTTCATATTGACAATCCTACCCCCGACTTAATGCAACTTTCATATTGACAATCCTACCACCGACTTAATGCAACTTTCATATTGACAACCATTGACTCTTTCCCCTAAACCTAATGCGCTGTTGTTTTTTTTTTTTTTTAATTTTTATAACAAACGATATTTTCTACGGGGAGGTGGTGGCAATAACGTGGTTTAAATTCGCTTTTGGCAAGAATCAAACCTAAGACCTCTCACTTACAAGTGAAGAGGAATATCACTAAACTGTAGCATCTAAGTGGTTGCTCAAAGCACTTTTAGCACTACAGTTTACCAAACACTTACCTTTTTTTTTTTAACAGCTGTTTATTTTCACAAAAAAGCATAATCAGTTTTGAAAAAAAAAATAATCACAGCACTCCCAACTATCCTTGAATAGGTCAAATAGAACCACCAACCAGAATTACATAGGAATGTATAAGATGCTAAAAAATATGTGTGCTTATCATTTCTCATTTGACAATTGTTTATAACTCCAACTTCTATGCATTCATCTTATGCAAAATTTGATATTTGTTTATCAAGTTTGGAAAAATATCCATGACTATTAGATAAGAAGGTGACCAAAATTTGAATCCATGTAGGAAATTTGCTCAATCTTACTACATGATAAAAATCCATGTACCGTGGGGAGAGAGAGGGACTAGTAGGTTCCCGTTTGGGTTTGGTCGAATTTTTTATGTTAGAAAATTGTGATGTGGAAGTTATTGAGAATGAATTTCATATTGATGAGAGGAGAAATGTTGCACGTGTTTATAAGTAGTTGGATTGGACTACTCCTCATATTGCCAATTGGTTTTATGGTGGAACCTCAACTTTCTTCATGGTATCATAGTAGGTTGTCGTCCCATGTGTGAAGCCCAACGACCACACGTGCTCCACGTCACATGTCACTGATATTGTGTTGTTCACATGTTAGGCTTGAAAATTCATCACACGTGAGGGGAGTGTTGAGAATGAATCCCACATTGATGAGAGGAGGGACCTTGCATGTGCTTATAAGTAGTTGGCTACTCTTCATATTGCCAATTGGTTTTATGGTGAAACCTCAACTTTCTTGAACAATTATATTAGTAGGTAAGTGGGTCTCACTCATGCCACGTTGAGTATTTTTAGTTTTATTGACGGAGTATGCCACGTTGAGTATTATCAGTTTTATTGACAAAGTTAACGAAAAATCATTGTGAATCGAAAATAGAGTTTCGGGATGTAAAGTGAAGAAATTTGAGTTTTAGAGGACAAACACTAACCTTACACCACCATTACTATTACCACACCTTTGTTGCTACCGCTCTCTTGCGGAAGCGGAGTATCAAGCTCTTGCTTATGCTTGTGTGGATACAATATGGATCCAAGGTCTCTTGCAAGAGCTTCGTTGTCCACTCACTCGTCCGGTTCTTATCAACTGTGATAATCTCTCAGCAACATATTTAGCTGCCAATGCAGTTTTTCATGCCTGGACGAAACATACAGCCATTGATTATCACTTTGTGAGAGAGTTGCATCAGGCAGTCACCGCGTTTAGTCCATTCCCCCCACACATCAGCTTGCCGATGTCTTTACAAAAGGCTTAGATACAGACTGTTTTGAGCTTCTCGTTTCCAAACTTGTCTCCTACTCCGAGTCAAGTTTGTGGGGGAGTCTTAAGGGAGTTATAAGCATTAATTCAACATTATTTAGGGAGTACTATGGTCGTATAAAGGGATCTTTCCGATGTTGTTATCAGGCTGTAACTCTATGTATTTTCGTTATGTTGTTATTAGGCTCTAACTCTATATTTATGTTGCATTCTTTCCTGTTGTAACTGTAGAACACACTAACTCCATAGCTTGTCGAAATATGTGTACAATTGTTCTATGCTATTACGAGGAAAGTCACTTTTTACGGTGACAATTGTGGGGGTGGCAACGGTGGCAACGATGGTGGTGGTGATGATGATGGTGATGTAAGATTAGTGATTGTAGTGGCAGGTGGTAACGGCTACTTAAGAAAAAACGTTTAGAGAGATAAATAACATCATTTTTTAAATTTAATGGAGTATTACAAAAATTAAAAATATTCATTTTATACTAAACTATGAGCTCTTTATATGCGTGCGTCTTGCGAAGTTCAAAATCACAAAACATATTTTCGTATTATTTTAAAGAAGTTCTGAACTCATTGATGCTCGTATGTTCAAAACCCACCTCCACCAATAAAAGAAAAAACATGAAGTATATTTAAAATAACCATTATAACTAAGTTCGTACGACATGAAGTGAAAGAAACCGAATGCTCCTACTTAACTCATACATGAACTGAGTAGATTATGATCAACCAATGATGATAATGGATGACGAAATAACTGGAAGTGTTACGAAATAACTGTAGAAAGTGATGTAAATCATGAACAATGATCTGCCATTCCATATATATAATGCTTTAGCCATCATCTCAGATTCTCAGGCCACCCTTATGATGGATTCCATTGACAGTTTCTGAGTTATCTCCAGCAAAGAGTCCTTAACATGATCAGCTTGAACTATTTTACTGGTACTGTCATTTTTCTGCACAACCAAACATAATGGTTATCAGTTAATATTAATAAAATATAATAAAATGCCTTGGGGTATTAAATTTAGATAACGTTAATTACCTGTACTTTAAAGACATTAAAGATCAGGGTTTTGAAGCTAGTCGCATTTGCATAGGTTACTTCCAAGCCTAAAGTATCCAATGCCTCCATCAGTCTTACAAACCCTCCTGGCTTGTGCTCACATAATACAGTCACAGAGAATTCATTAACATCCAACTCAGTTACTTCCACTTGTGGCTGCAATTAGTTTCACATTCTTTTGATCACCTAAAGAGATAGAACTCCAAATATACATCCAAATTTAAAAAATATAAGATTTTAGTTTAGTCTATACCTCCATCTTTTCATTTTCTGGTGTGTTTGCAATGATAGTTTCAATTTGACGGAGAAACTCTGATTGTAAATTGCCATTGTTTCCACAAATATAACTAGTTTCCTTTCCTCCACCATTTGAGTTACATTCAAGCTCTTTTTGAAGTTCTTTTACTTGCCTCTGCAACTTCGACACGTATGCAATTGTGTCCCCGATGACGGAAGCTCTGTCCATCTAAGAATCAAGATGATTAGGCATTATATATATTAGAGCTTCTCCTAAAGATTGTAATCACATTAGCTGAATACAAGACGTGACAGCGTACTAATCACATCAATTGTTCATTAACATATCAACTGTCAGCGCACTTTCCCATTATTCTGTATATGTCTAACTGAAAACGCTGATAATACTAATCTGAAAATAAAAATAAACACTTAATGCAATTGATCATCACCCCAGTATTGTTGGGAAGCAAAGTGCGAAGGATATGGTATATGTCGTTAATCTTATTCCCTTCTCTTCATTTCAGCTTCAAAGTTTGATTGAGGTACTTTTTCATTCCTACCGCAACAATCAGTTCATCAGTAAACGTTAAAAAAAACCGAAAAAGTCACTGGGAAAAGGAAGAAATGGAGAGTAGCTAGCTAATTATAACCTTTGGTCTTCACTCGGTTTCCAACTTTTCAAACGCACTAGAGATCCACGCATCTGTCTGAGGCTTGGCAGGGTCATCATCATGTTCATGCCACCTGTAAACGATTGATAAAACATTAATTTCAAATTCCTAAACCTCACCGAATTAGTTGAGTACATAACAAGAACTGAGAGAAGAAAAATATATAGCTACCTCTTTTGCCTGCACATGTCAGTAAGAAAAACGCGACGAGGGCGAAAGAAGAAACGAGGAAGCAGATAAAGCAAAGGTAGAGATCCATAACTTCAGTCAATTGATCAAATCAAGTAAAACAATTGGGGACTCTTGCATTTGACAAAAGTGTTTCCTTTTTTATCGAGAGAGTTTGGTAGGTGAACTGAAGTCCATGCATGAGTGTAGCGTGAGAGAGAACTTAATAAAAAACTACACAAACTAATTAATTTCTTTTTGTGTTTTTTGTTCCCTTCTCTGTCGGTAATTGAAGAGGATGGCTTGGTAAATATGAGAGCATATTGCATGAATGAGCTGAAACTTTTCTAAAGTTTTTCATTCACTTAGGTTTGGTATATGCATTTGCTCATGTTTCAACTACTCCATAAAGCTAAAAAAACTAAACCAAAGGGGCAATTGACTAAAAAAATCTAAATTGAATGGGCAATTGGCTAAGAAACCTAAACTGAAAGGGCCATTAGCTAAAAAAACTGAAATGGCAACCCGTGAACACAAATTGCCTACTTTTGGATTTGGTTGTGTTCAAACCTATATCGCACAGGCAATAAGAAAGGATGGAGGTATGGTATCTTCCACACATTAGATGCCAACTCATTGCCAAAACACAATAATCTCATCAAGTCACCTCTTAGTCAAAAGTTTGTTATCACATGCCATGTACTTGTAAAATTGTTACTGAAGTTTGTTAATCACACGTCATCTTCCTGTAAAACTGTTATTGTTTACTTTAGATTAGCTAGTGATTAGTTAGGCTCCTGTCTTATGTTTTCTATTAATTGTGATATATTCTCATGTGTAAGATCTTTTTTTTTTCTTTTTTTTTTGGGGGTAACATGGAAGAAGAAAAAAATTAAACACCTAAAGAACAACTAGTTTAGCTAGCAACTCCAGAGCAGTCATCGGAAAGAGTTTGAACTAAACAAGGAGGAGACTGAGGAAGCTCTTGAAAATCCATCTTGCTATTTAAACCTAATTTGGCTAACCCTTCAGCTGCAAAACTATGCTTTCCATGAACATGCTGCAAATTATAGCTCCAGTTATGTATGATCAAACTTCTCCATTCCGAGATAATTCCGAGATAAGACCATAGAGAGGATGATTAAGGCAAGGCGAATAATGAATGAGACCACCAAAGCATAATCAACCTCCACAATAAGATGAGAGAAATTTCTAGCTTTAGCTATCTTCAACTCATAAAACAAAGCCCAAAGCTTAGCATGGAGAACTTCCCCAACTCCTTTTTAGCAATAAAACCAATGAGACCTTTAAGTTAAATGTGGATGGTGCTAGGCATGTGTAAGATCTTCCAAGAAGCCCCTTAGCTCTTAAAATTAATCATGTTTTGTGTAAAGGAAGTTGAGGTTTTTTAGCATCAATAAGCAATATGGAGAGTAATCCAAAATTCCTTACAAGTATATACAAAGTCTTTTCTTTCCTAAACATGGAATTCAAACTCTTAACATGCTCTCTCACATATATGTAGCGAATTTCCAAGAGTAACCCGTGGCCCAATCATTAAAAGCGAATTTCCAAGTACATATACATGCATAATGAAGTTGCATCATATGGAATAGTCTATAGGCTCTTAGTTATTGGGTGACAAAGGAGGATATAATAAATAATAACAAAAGAAAAGAACACAGGGTTAATCTAGGGTTAAGTCCTAGAAACAAGAATTTTCTAGGAACGATGTTTCTAGGGGAAAAGAAAAAAAAACTCCTCAAAACACCGTTTTGAAAATACTTAAAACGTTGTATGTGCTTAAAACACTTGAAATACAGTTTTGAAAATACTTAAAATTTCTAGAAATAATGTTTTTTTTTCTTCAAAATAGTGTTTTAACTATATTAAAAACGATATTTTAAGTATTTTTGATATGAGAACTTTGTAAGGATATAGATAGTGGCTAGGATTGTGCCACTTGTCACAAGATTGTAAGCCTTAGTTTGTTTGTTTGTTAGAGTGTGTTCTCTATATAAATACATCATTGTAATAGCATAGCTTGAAGGTTAAGAAAACCAATATAACAATTCTGCAGTTTCTCTCTCTAAAACCTTTCTCTCTCTAGTTCTTGAAATTCTGATCTCTCGATCTCTCCCTCTTAACATTAACAAACTCTATCAAATTATATTTGATAATATGACATGATAGTCTGAATACAACTTGTTTGGGTGTTTAAAAACTCTTACCAAGTCGTAGCTTCAAAACAAAGAGAAACAGGAAATTACAAAAATTATCTTAACTCTTCAAACGTAGTTTTGATCTAGCAAACATGTATTTGGCCCAAAAGACCATAAATCACCGCATAACGCATGTCGAGCATGTCCATAATCTGTCTCGCTAGTTGTTCTCATCAGAATGCTTAATACATAATTAATTAGTAGATTATGCTAAATTAACTATAAAGGTGTTGTAGGTGGTATGAAGAAGCATGGTAATCGTGGAGATGGTGTTGTTGGTGATGATCATGCTGAAAATGATCCAATGGACTGACATTCCCTGATGCTTTAGCAATCATCTCAGGCCACCCTTTTGATGATGGATTCCTTGTTATCTCCAGCAAGGAGTCCCTCACATGATCAGCTTGAACTATTTCAGTGTCCTTTTTCTGCGTAATTAACATATAATAAAAAATTAAGTGCTTTTCACGAATAAAAACTCTTGGTTATGTCAAAAACACTCAAAGCACCGGTTTGAAGAAAAAGAAAGAAAGAAAAAACTCATTGATCCTACTGTTCTTAGACCCGTCAATTAGTGTATCTGACACTTAGTTGATAAATGAGGAATTTTGTCTTTTATAGTAAGATTCTTGAAATATTTGTCACTAACATTAACATTAACAGTTGTCATGAGCTACATAATTAAGTAAGAGATAATTGGTTACCTCTACTTTGAAGACGTTAGAGACAAGGCTTCTGAAGCTAGTCACATTTGCATTGGTCACTTCCAAGCCTAAAGAATCCAATGCCTCCATCAATCTCACAAACCCTCCTGGCTTGTGCTCACAGAATACAGTCACAAAGAATTCATTTCCATCCAACTGAGTAACCCCTACTTGTGGCTGCAACCATATTATTCCATTAATCTTTTTGTTATCTGAAATTTCAAATTTAAAAAACATATATAAGATTAAGTTATACCTCCATCTCTTGTCCCCTGTCCTTAGTAATATCTGAGTCTTGGTTTTTTTGTTTAGAGATATTGCCAATGTCTCCTGCTGTTCCCACACGAAACCCATTTGGAAGCTCATCATTTTCTTGTTTATTTGCAGTGGTATTTCCGTTTTGACTCAGAGTTTCTGGCTGGAAATTGGTGTGGTTTCCACAGATATTATTGGAATTCCTTTTCTTAGATCCTCCATCATCTGAATGCTGTTCAAGCTCCTCTTGGAGTTCTTTTTCTTGCCTCTGCAACTCCTTCACGAACTCAATCGCGTCCCCGAGTATGGAAGCCTTGTCCATCTGTGAATCAAAATGAGTAGGCATTAGATTCTGCTAAAGATGTCACGTATTTTATATAACATTAGCCCGACCACATGATGTGACAACATACTTGTCACACTAGTTACTACTGTCAACTGTTAATTAATTATCAACTAACACATAGGAAAGTGTAAAGTCCATCTAGTACAATTGAAAAAATAATAATAATGCCATGGTCATCACCTTAGAAATGTTGGGAACCAATGAGCGGAGGTGATAGAGCCTCTCATTAAGTTTCTTCCTTCTCTTCCTCTCCGCCACAAGGTTTTTTGACTGAGGCTTTTTTCCTGTTCTTCTCCTATAATTCGTGCCACCATCATCATCAAACTGATCACTGCAATCTGAAGCTGAATGATCAGCAGTTCTTCCACCCTCGTGTTTAATTGAGTCTTGATCATCCACAACCTGCTGCTCAATGTTTTCTATTCCCTCATTAACTTGAATATTATTATGCAAGTTTTGTGCATTAGTATCAGCTTGAAGCCCCATCTCTCCCAAAGACTCATGTGAACCCTGATCAAAATTATAGACATTATTATTGTTACTATTTTGGAGGAAATTCATTGGGGAAGTGCTGCATAGGCGGATTTGGTCAACTGAGATATCGCATGGCAAATTCGAATTGTGATCCAATGCCATTGCCGGAAAAACAGGTTGCTGCTGGAAACTATGATTGTTGTTTAGATGATCATTTCCCCCATTATCATCTACAAGAAATGCCTTTGGTCGTATGTCATTGCTCATGTTGTTTATATCCACGGTGAAGCTTGTATTGCAGCTTGCACTAAGCAGGATATCTTGCTCATGTGAAATGTTGCATTGGGCAGTGATAAAGTCAATCACTTGTTGGTCTTCAGAGACCTGTCAAAGTGGAAAAAAATGCAAATACTTAAAAATTGTAATGTGTGAATTTGTTAGTTGCAGGCAAAACTATAAATTGTGACCCTTACATACCCCATCTCTCACAAAATTTATGTAGGACACAAATGTTTCAAATAGTTGGTTCATATCATGTACACGAGAACTACTAGCATATAGACGTTTGCATGCGGCAACTCTCATACAAAGGGTGAGCCTTTGTATTTGGGTCTAGCTCAGGCTCAACTTTTGTGTGAGAGGTGGCACATATGCATGTGCGTATGTAAGAATTTCTCCACATGAAAGATCTAAAATAACAAATTGAAAGGAAGCTGTTTAAAAGTGAAGCATCATATATATCATACATCTCTAGAGACAAACAGCTCAATCAGCCCTCCACCACTTGGAACCAAAACCCTGGTCTCATCTCTTTCCTGCAAAATAAGTGATGATGAGTATAGAGTTACATTTAATTATATGCTCAACAAAGAGGGTATTTTTTTTTTTCTTAAAAATATCTAAAAGAATTGGACAACGACTATACCATATGACTTAAATCTCTATTGGTAGAGTTCAACCAAATGATCTGGTTTGAAATTAATGCCTGTGCATAAATCCTGTGCAAACACAATTTAGTTTTTACTTTTAGTACTAATTATAATTGAATGATTAAAAAAATACAAAAAATGAAAGCTAAATAATATTTATAGGTACCCAGATTCTAAGGGCAGGGAAGAAGGAAGCTG